AGGAATTTCTGATTCTTCCACCAGACATATTCTACCAAAATACGTAGATTGCTTATCTGCTTATGAAGATTTTCAGGACTTACATTTAGTCAATTTATTTTACTAAGTAAAATTTTTGGCCCTGCTACTTCCCTGCCTGAGAGGGAAATCAGTGTTCTGGATTGCCACATAAACATCGTAGTCATCTTGTCAGGACACCACTAATGCATGTTTAAAAGTATAGCTGGCACTTATCGGTTTACCTTCTCATTCTATTCTCCAAAATTCAACTTTCTGGGTTGCTGCTAGTCAGGAATTGTCCTTTGAAAGTTCAATTATCTGTGTATGTTTGCATTGGCCAAATTGAGAGATGACTGAACAACAATAAAAAGTCGGCCACAGTAGCTCAGAGTACTGTCCCTTGATAACACCTAAGGGAAAGCAAAACTACTTTTCTGACAAGCATCTTAAATAGACAACCGGGAATTTAGTCAGAAAACTGTGTAAACCAACCTTGCCTGTGAGAAGGAGAGATGTGTTAGTTTGGAATGCATTTGTCTGCAATCAACAGAAAACCCGACTACAGTTGCTCCATCTCATAGGGGTTTATTTATAAATGCAACGTAAAGCCTGGGAGAAGATAGTATAGAGTTGTTGCAGCAGCTTAACAATGCTATAAAAAATTCAGGGGCTTTCCTTCTTGCCATACTTAGCACATAGGCTTTTGTTTTATGGTATTTATCTCATGGTTGCAAGTTGGCTGCTTCAACTCAAGGCTTATTCCCCAATACCCATGCTGGTTAAGAAAAAGGAAAATGGGCAAAAGACCTAAGGAACAGGCCACCTCAGGCTAGCCTTTTCAAAAATATTTCCCTTAAGTCCAATCCTCCAAATGCACTTTTAAATCATTAGTAATAACAGAGTCATATGACACTCCTATCTGCAAAGGATTATCAGAATATGAATATTTTGGCCTAGAGTAGGGGAAGGCAAATAAAAATGGGCTTGGAAATGGCTTTTTTAGTAGCCATTTGTATTCATTTCCTACTGCTACTGTAACAAATTACCAAAAACTTAGTGGCTTAAAAACACAAATTTATTATCTTACAGCTCTGGAAGTCAAAAGTTAAACTGGGCTAAAGTTAAGGTAGGGCTGCATTCCTTTCTGGAGGCTCTAAGGGACAATACATTTTCTCGCCTTTTCTAGCTTCTAGAGGCTGCCTGCATTCCTTCACTAGTGGCTTCCTTCCTCTTCAAAGTTTGGTTCAGTTTTTTTCATATAACATCACTCTGATACTGACTCTTCTTCTGCTTCCCACTTCCACTTCTTATTAAGGGCTCTTGTGATTACACTGGACCCACCTGGATAATCTAGGGTAATCTCCTTATTTTCAGGTCAGCTGATTATCAACCTTAATTTCATCTGCAACCTTAATTCCCCTCTGCCACATAAGATAAGATACTCACAGGTTCCAGACATTAGGACATGGATACTTTGTGGGGCCATTATTTTCCCTACCACAGTCTACCCTCTGACTCCCAAAGATGCACATCTGTCCCACATAAAAAATATATTCAAGGTCCCCAAAAATCTCATCTCATTACAGTATCAACTCAGTATAATTTCATCTAAATCTCATTAACTCAAAAATCCCAAACTTCATCATCTAAATCATTTAAACTAGATATGGATAAGACTCTGGGTATTATCCATCCTGGGAATAATTCATCTCCATCTGTGGACCAGTGAACCTAAACAAATTATCTGCTCTTCATACCATAGAGGCAGGCATAGGGTGACAGTTACTGACATTCCAGTTCAAAAAGAGAGAAAATGGAAAGTAAAAAGGATCTCTTGTCCCAAGACATGTAGAAATCCATCCAGAAAAACTCTATTTGCTTTCAAGGCCTGGGTTTGAAGCTCCACCCTCTGGGCTCCAGGCTCTGTCCTCTGAGCCATCCTTCCTTTTTCATGAGAGGTAGTATATTTTTATATCTAAATAGTTTTGTCAGTCTGTTTCTTGCTTATGGAATTTTGGGGTACAATAGCCTTCTTTTATTTCATTCCCTCTGTCCCTTTAAGTTGAAGCTGGTAATATTTCTGCTGGTATAACATTCTCAAGAACCTTATGAGTCCCTTGGGTATGTCACAGGGATTCACTCCATTAGACAGACAACAGACTCCTTCCCGGATAATATAATCTCTATTTCTGACTTCTGCTGAGATGGCTGAGGATATCCATGAATCACAGGTCTAACCTCTTCAAAGAACTTTCTGTGTGACTGAATACTCTGACCTTTTAATCCTTTCAAGGCATTAGCAAAATGTTGTCCCGTGATACCCGTGGCTTTGTCTCCAGAACATGCTTTCCTGACAGTGACTCTCCCAATTTTAGTGTCTTTTACAATCTGAATAGGCTGAGAATTGCCCAAATCATCACAGTTTTGTTCCTTTTTGCTTAACAGTCCTTCCCTCAGTCTATCTAATTCCTCTCACGTTTTACTATAAGCAGTAAGAAGAAACCAGGCTGCAACTTCAACCCATTGCCTGGAAATCTCCTCAGCTAAATATCCAAGTTCATTGCTTACAGGCCCTTCTTTCCACATTTCCACTGCAGGACACAATTCAGCTAAGTTTTCTGCCACTATATAACAAATATTCCCTTTCCTCCAGTTTCCAATAACATTTTCCTCATTTCTTTCTGAGCCCACACCAGCAGTGACTTTAACATCCATATTTCTACCAGCAGTCTCTTTACAATGACTTAGGTATTCTACAAAGCAATATTTGTTTTCTGCACCATGCTCCTTACTTCCTTCTGAGTCTTCACTAGCAGAGTTGTTAATATTCATATTTCACCTAACAGTCTGTTCAAAGCAATCTAGGCTTTTTCCATCATGCTTTTCAAAATTCTTCCAGCCTCTGCCTACTGCCCAATTCCAAAGTAACTTCCATATTTTTAGTTACTTGTTACAGCAGCACTCCACTTCCAGGTACCAAAATCTCTATCAGTCAGGGTTCAACGAGCAGGAGATATATATTAAGAGATTTATTGCAAGGAAGTGACTTATTCAATTGTGGGAGCTGGCTAGGCAAGTCCAAAATCTGTGGAGCAGGCAATCACAAATGGCAGGCTGGAACTCGGGGGCATAAGCTGAAGCTGCTACGCACAGGCAGAATTTCTTCTGCATCTCAGGGAAGATTTGCTCTGCTTTTTAAGACCCTTCAACTGATTGAATCAGGCCCACCCAGATCCTCTAGGATATTCTCCCTATTTTAAGGTTAGCTGATTAGCAGCCCTAATTCCATCTGAACCTTAATTCCTCTTTGCAATATAACATAACATATTCACGAGTTCCAAGGATTAGGATGTGGATGTCTTTAGGGGGCCATTATTCTGCCTCCCACACCATTGTATAGTATCTGCAAAGTTAGGAGGCTCCTGGAGGTAGAGGAGTCCTGACAACAGAGCTGATTATTTCATTAAATCATTCAATGTTTTCACCAACATATCCTTTAATAAGCTTTCTTTTGGACCAGCCCCGTGGCTTAGCGGTTAAGTGCGCGCGCTCCGCTACTGGCGGCCAGGGTTCAGAACCCCGGGCGGGCACCGACGCACTGCTTCTCCGGCCATGCTGAGGCCGCGTCCCACATACAGCAACTAGAAGGATGTGCAGCTATGACATACAGCTATCTACTGGGGCTTTGGGGGAAAAATAAATGAATAAAAATTTTAAAAAAATTTTTAAAAAAAGCTTTCTTTTGTTAACTAATATTAATTCTACAATGTGTTTTTTCTTTCAAATTTCTTATCAACCTGAACATGTCATCATCCAAAGGCAAGTAGATATTGCCATGTTGTGCCATCAAAAGCTCCTCTAGGCTCAGAATTTGGAGCTCACTTGAGAATTTCTCTGCAACAGCAGAGGACAATTGTAGGCAATGCATTACTTGGTCCTAGAATCTATTGACCTTTACACTATTTTTGCAATACTTTAAACACAGTCAATTTGGGTATCATAAATCTGTCCAGGACTCTAATAAGGATCCTAACTTCAGTTAGATATAAGTAAGAACCCATAAGTCTTTTCAACATTAATTTAGATGAGAAAGAATAGATGATAACAATAGAGTTTGTGAAAGAATTTCAATCTAAAATAGAATCCGAAGATATAAAATGGAGAATCTCATGCTGTACTGTCAGGAAGACAAAACTTAAGGACTAAGAGACTGATTTCCTATTAATTCCTGATTTACAGAAAACTGATAGTGTTGAAATTTTCTTGGATGATGGGGGGTTGATCAGAGGTTGTCTCATATCAACTGTGGGAAGTTTTGCCAGGGGCATGAATGGGAGATGACCCAGGTTGGGTTAGTCTCACAAAGTGGGCTGAATTGAGCTTTGTTTGTGTGACTGGACTGATTTTGTCAGCTCAGGAACTTTTCAAGACTGGTCTCCATTTGTTTTTGATTTTAACTGACTCTAACTGAACTCTCCCCTTTTCACATTCCCTGCCCATAAACGTAACTTACCCCAAACCCTCAACAGACCAGCCTGTAGCTTGCTACATTTCACTTGTCCTGAATTGCAATTCCTCTGCTATTTCTGAATAAACTCATCTTTTTGAGCTTGCCTCAGTTTACCTCTTTATTCAAGTCAACAAGTTTCATGAGATGACATAGGTATTTTAGAGTGAAAGTCTAATGATGACAAGTGTGATTTTGAAATAGATAGCATGAAATTATACATGTTGCTGGCTATTGGTAAAACGAAAATCCAGAGCTTAGAAGAAACTGGACATGGGTAAATTCAAATTAATTCCACTTCAAACAGGAAAAGGTTATAGAAAAGTCATAGCTGTGTAAATAATACAAACTAAACGACTTCCAATAATTTAAAAATGAAGTATGATAAAAAGGAATCTGACATTCTTATGTAGAATCATATATAGTGAGAAGTATGTTAAAACTAGAATTACGTTTATTCTGAGAGGTTAACTTTCATATTATCCTTTAGGAATGAGTACTAAAAATTTAATCAGAAAAATGAAATTTCCTGATGTAAAATTTTTACTAATAACACAATAACTGAAAAAGTAATTATAGGGCAACCAGGCAAACAAAACGAAGAGTAACTTTACTAAGGAAAACAGTAGAAGAAAGAAGAAAAACAAGCAGAATTAAAGATTACTACTGGATTTAAAAAAGAAAAGGGAAAGGTGGAGGAGACAAAACTAACGTATGGCAGCAGGGAAGTTTCAGATACCTAAACTATTCTGGAAGACTGAATTTCCTTCTGACTTTCTCCCAAGGTCCTGGCCTAGATTGTTGGGGAAGATGGGCTTCAAGAACTTGAACTCATTACTCCCAGAGTCTCCCATCAGACACACCTCATACTGGTGGCTCTGGGACAGGGTCCCAGTACCGCCGACGTCCACCAGGTGGCCCGGAAAGTGGCCCTCAGGCACCGAGCAGCGACCCAGCGAGGCGGCCCTGCTCCTCCCGCACAGCCGCACCGCGATGAACGCGAGCACCGAGAAGAGGAAGAGCGACGACACCGCGGCCAGGGCGATGACCAAGTAGACGGTGAGCGGGTCGGCCTGCGCCTGCTCGGCCGCCGCCTCCGGCAGCGGCAGGTAGGGCTGCGAGAAGCCGTCCACCAGCAGCACGTGCAGCGTGAAGCTGGCCGAGCGCGGCGGCTCGCCGTTGTCCTTGACCAGCACCAGCAGCCTGTGCTTGGGCGCGTCGCGCTCGCTCGGCGGCCTGGCCGTGCGCACCTCGCCGTTGTGCGCCCACACGCCGAACAGCCCGGGCTCCGTGGCCTTGAGCAGCTGGTACGACAGCCAGGCGTTCTGGCCCGAGTCGCCGTCCACCGCCACCACCTTGCTCACCAGGTAGCCCGCCTCGGCCGCCCTGGGCACCAGCTCGGTGCAGGGCGCCGAGCCGTTCTGCAGCGGGTAGAGCACGAAGGGCGAGTTGTCGTTGTCGTCCAGCACCAGCACGCGCACCAGCGCCTGGCTGCTCAGCGCCGGCGAGCCTCGGTCTGTGGCGCCCACGCCGAACTCGAAGGCCTGCAGGGCCTCGTAGTCCAGGGACCGCAGGGCGAACAGGTGCCCGTTGTCCGCGTTGATGGACACGAGGGAGGCGAGGGGCAGGTGCGGGTCGTGGGGCGGCAGCAGCGAGTAGGTGACCTGGGCGTTGGCGCCTGCGTCTGCGTCTGTGGCGCTGACGCTGCCGATGTGCAGGGCGGGGCTGTTGTTCTCGCGGACCCGCAGGGTGTAGGAGGTTTGGGTGAAGGCGGGGGCGTTGTCATTGACGTCGGAGACCAGCAGGGTTAAGTTGTGCTCGGTTTTCAGCCTGGGTGTCCCCAAGTCGGTAACTGTAACGGTGACATTATACTCAGCTCTGCTCTCTCTGTCCAGTGCCCCATTTGTTACCAGGGTGTAGAAATTCTCTGCAGATGGTTTCAAGAGGAAGGGGAGATCATCCTGGATGGAGCAAGTCATCCTTCCGTTGTCCCCTGAGTCTCGGTCTCGAATCCTAAACAGGGCCACCTCTGTCACAGGGGTATTTTCAGGAATGGGGTTGATAAGTGATGAAATAGTTAGTTCTGGGGAGTTATCGTTAACATCCACCACCTCGATAGAGACAGAGCATTTTCCAGAAAGTCCCCCACCATCAGACGCATCTATATACAGCTCATATGAGGATATTGTCTCAAAATCTAGTTTTTTGATTAGTCGAACTTCTCCTGACAGACTGTTTAGCTCAAAAGTTGTGCTTATCTCCTGAGAACTATAAAAAAGGGAGTACGATATCTCTCCATTTGTCCCGGTGTCTAAATCTCTAGCAGAGACCTTGACAACTAGGGTGCCTACAGGGCTGTTCTCGGGGACCTGCACCTGGTATAGCGTCTGCGCAAACTCAGGGGCGTTGTCATTGACGTCCAGGACCAGGATGCTGACCTGGGCGGTGCCGGACCGGGGTGGAGAGCCGCCGTCCAGCGCCGTGAGGGTTAATCTGAGCTCCGGCTGCTCCTCGCGGTCCAGCTCTTTGTCCAGCACCAGCTCTGGATATTTTCTGCCGTCCCCCCAGTTGCGGGTGGAAACACGGAAATGAGAGTTGGGACTGATATTGTAATTTTGAATGTTATTGTTGCCCACGTCCAAGTCCTGAGCTGTTTTCAGAGGAAACACGGTCCCAGGAGGGCTACTTTCTGGGATTTTCAGCGTCATTTCTCTTTCAGGAAACTCAGGAGAATGATCGTTTATGTCTCTCACCAGTAGCTCAGCTCGAAATACTCCCAACGGTTTTTTCAGTAACACTTGGAAATGCATTACACATGGATCAGTGGGGCCGCACATCTCCTCCCGGTCCAGCTTCTCATTTAATATCAACTCCCCAGTCTGCAGATCAAGCTGTAAGCGGGGTTCGTTATCCTCAGAGACTACCCGGGCTCCCCGCTCAGCTAGCTCCCCCACTCCTAGACCCAAGTCCTTGGCCAGGTTGGCTACAAAGGAACCGCTCTCTGTTTCCTCCATCACAGAATAGCGACGGGATTCCCAGCCTGCCAGAACCACTCCCAGCAAGAGAAAAAGAATCAGGACTTGCCTTTGTTTAGGAAAGCGCGCCCCTCCGGCCTGCATCTTTACTTTCACAAAAGCTTTCCAGGAACAGGGCCCCAGATCTACTTTAGGGAGCGATGGGACTCAGACAGTAATGGATGTCTCAGTTGGTAACCTGTCCGGAAATGTCGGTGAGTCGAGTTCTCTGGAGACTTACTGGTCCTGAGCTCTGCTTACAGGCTTTTCTCTTCCGCTAGAGGTCTGAGGTAGAGTTCGTAGCATTTCCTGGGCTTTATTTTTGACGCCTTAGCCTGCAGCGCCACCATGCGTTGTCTTCGAAAAGAATTGCTACAATTGTATTCTCTCTATGTAATAATCTAGGGGGCTAACAGGAGTTTGGAAATGATTTGGGGGAGACGATGTAATCAGAAAACCATGCAATTATAATTATTCATTCCTTCGTTCAAATAAGTATTATTGATATCTATGTACTAGGTCCTAAAATACACCAGTAAACAACCCAGACATGGTCCCTACCTTCTAGAACTTGTAGTCTGGGTGGGATGCCCTAAGGAGAAATGAGAAGTGAAAGAAGACTTAATAGTGATCAGTCATCTTGTAAAAGTAATAATATACACCTGTGTGATTTCTTAAAATTCTCTAAGCAAAAATGATTAATTTCTTTAGTTTTTTTTTTCTTTTTCAAATTCTAGGCAGCCTATGTGCCATAATTGTGGTTCCCATTGGTTGGATCACATCAAGGAAACACCTACCAGTTAATTCCAGTTTCTAATACCCTTTCTACATAAGGTCAGGGAGTTGTGATTTTATGAAACTTTCAAACTATGGGAAAATGCATATGAGGGCACTCCCTATATCTCTTACTCTGCTTTTTCTCCTTAGCATTGATCACCATCTGATACAGCATATATATACATATTTAATTGTTGCTTTTTTGTGTCACCCTTGAGTTTGAAAACTTTGTTTTGTTCACTTCTACATCCCCCAACACCTAGAACAGTCCCTGACACGTGGTGGATGTTCAACAAATATTTGTTGAGTAGATCAAGGAATAAATCACAATTAATTTTAAAATTCTGACAAATGGATTCTCCTTCTAACGTAGAAGCCCCCTTTTTTGCTGGGATCCCAGTTCATTATAAGCTGGATAAACAAGACACCATGTTCCAAAGTAGCTACTTTTCTAAGCTCTTTTGAACAGTGATTTGAAATAATTCAGAATGATCTAAAATGTTTTTTCATTAAATGGCAAAATACCCTCCTCTCAAGCAAAGGGATACATTATAAAAAGGAAAGAACATGATACCAGGCTATAATGATCCTACAAATAAGGTATACATCTCTTTTAGAACACATTGTCAATGTTATTTCACACTAATACTATTATGACACTAATGGTAATCAAAAATTCTTTCTTATATAGTACAATTTTCTAAGAATTTCTATTAAACACTCCAAAAACTGTTCAATTTGGAACTATCTATCAATTCTTCTTGAAATCACATATTCTAACAAAAGCTTGTGCTTGTGCCTTACAGTGCTTGTCCCTCAGTAGTCTTGTCCCTTAGACTACTAATATTCCACAACCTTTTGATCCCAAATATTATTATATTAACATGGAAACCACGATTTTTAAAATATCAAATTAACACTAAGTTTCGATCCATGCAAGAATATCTAAACATACTTTTGACAAAAGAAAAAACCCACTTAGCTATCTTAATTAGAGGGAAATTTATTAAAAGAGCACATATTTGTTTCCAAAAACCCAAGGGAGAAAGCAGACTTGGGAAGGACTGGAAAATCTACAACAAAGTTACTCTTTAGGCATCTCCTTCCTTCTTGTCTCGAAGTGAATTGACTTTCTGCGCTTCTTTTTATGTATTTAGCCAAGATGATATCACTTTCTTGTTGAGTTCCTAATAGAGAGACTATTTTATATATGGTTTCTAAAGCCATTTTTTTACACACAGAGAATCAGATTGGCCCATCTTGGATCAGCAATGTCTACCACATTATCTGATCACAGAGGGAGATGAGTCATATAAAATAAACACATGTGCAACAGTACACTTCTCCTGAAGACAGGAGAAGTTTCCAGAAAAAAGATGGGGTGGGCTAGATAGACATCACAAAAGGGCTCTATTATTTAAATATTTTGAAATAATCTAATAATCTTTCTATAATATTCATATATATTATACACTGAAGGTTGATATAAAGAGAGAAAAAGCCTTTAAGTATGGGAGAAATTGTAGTCTTTTCCATTTAATACTACTGTGAAACAAAAACATGCAATTTTTGCAGACATTTCTCCATTAAAAATCTTAAGACAAGTAGGCGTAATATCAGATTAAACAGAATATATACTATTAATTCATTATATTTGTATCATGCTTGTCTCCTAAGTAACGACAACATCGAAAACTTAGAAAAGGCTTCTGGACAACAATCAAACAGAGAATAGGGCTAAGGTCATCTTCAAATCAATAGTGTTTGATGATGAAAAGTTGATAAATCGAACAAATATTCGTGACTTGTCAGTAATGAAGTAAAGTTGTCTCCATCAAAATATAAATGAGGAAATATGAGTATATACTCAAAGAAAATTACTAATCTCCTTAACTAAGAAAATGAAATCAGCAAAAACCCAAGAAATTCTGTAGGAACCAAAAAGGTAATGGAGACCTAGTATATTTAGAAAGAACTAACCTTCATCCTGAATGCTCTGAAAAATCAACAAATTCCTAATTGAATCCAAAACCGTTTACAAAGTTTGTTTTCCTCCACATCATTCACAGATGGTCAGAAGCAACAGACTTCAGAAACTGGAACTCGCTGGTCCCAGAGCCTCCCCTCAGACACACCTCATACTGGTAGCTCTGGGACAGGGTCCCAGTACCGCTGACGTCCACCAGGTGGCCCGGAAAGTGGCCCTCAGGCACCGAGCAGCGACCCAGCGAGGCGGCCCTGCTCCTCCCGCACAGCCGCACCGCGATGAACGCGAGCACCGAGAAGAGGAAGAGCGACGACACCGCGGCCAGGGCGATGACCAAGTAGACGGTGAGCGGGTCGGCCTGCGCCTGCTCGGCCGCCGCCTCCGGCAGCGGCAGGTAGGGCTGCGAGAAGCCGTCCACCAGCAGCACGTGCAGCGTGACGCTGGCCGAGCGCGGCGGCTCGCCGTTGTCCTTGACCAGCACCAGCAGCCTGTGCTTGGGCGCGTCGCGCTCGCTCGGCGGCCTGGCCGTGCGCACCTCGCCGTTGTGCGCCCACACGCCGAACAGCCCGGGCTCCGTGGCCTTGAGCAGCTGGTACGACAGCCAGGCGTTCTGGCTCGAGTCGCCGTCCACCGCCACCACCTTGCTCACCAGGTAGCCCGCCTCGGCCGCCCTGGGCACCAGCTCGGTGCAGGGCGCCGAGCCGTTCTGCAGCGGGTAGAGCACGAAGGGCGAGTTGTCGTTGTCGTCCAGCACCAGCACGCGCACCAGCGCCTGGCTGCTCAGCGCCGGCGAGCCTCGGTCTGTGGCGCCCACGCCGAACTCGAAGGCCTGCAGGGCCTCGTAGTCCAGGGACCGCAGGGCGAACAGGTGCCCGTTGTCCGCGTTGATGGACACGAGGGAGGCGAGGGGCAGGTGCGGGTCGTGGGGCGGCAGCAGCGAGTAGGTGACCTGGGCGTTGGCGCCTGCGTCTGCGTCTGTGGCGCTGACGCTGCCGATGTGCAGGGCGGGGCTGTTGTTCTCGCGGACCCGCAGGGTGTAGGAGGTTTGGGTGAAGGCGGGGGCGTTGTCATTGACGTCGGAGACCAGCAGGGTTAAGTTGTGCTCGGTTTTCAGCTTGGGGGATCCCGTGTCAGTGACGGTGATGGTGATGTTGTACTCGGCTCTGCTCTCTCTGTCCAGGTCTTCTTCTGTTTACCAGCTTGAAGAAATTCTCAACGGAAGGTTTCAGAGTGAACGGAACATCTTCCTGAATGGAACAAACCATCCTTCTGTTGTCCCCAGAGTCTGGGTCTTGAATACTGAAAAGAGAAACCGTGGTCTAGGGGGAATTTCCCGGAATGGAGCTTATAAGTGAAGCCACCGTTAGTTCTGGGGTGTTGTCGTTTACATCCACCACTTGTATTATGACAGTGCATTTTCCAGAAAGACCTGCCCCATCGGAGACCTTAATATCCACCTCATATGACACAATTTTTTCAAAATCTAGTTTCCCAATTATTTTAATTTCTCCCGTTAGTTCATTAAGTGCAAATGTCCTAGTAATCTCTTCAGCACCATAAAAAAATGAGTAGAATACTTCGCCGTTTATTCCCATGTCTAAATCTCTTGCAGAAACAGTGACAATAAGGGATCCCAGGGGACTGTTTTCCAGAATCTGCACATGATAGAGTGGCTGCGCAAACTCAGGGGCGTTGTCATTGATATCCAAGACATGAGGACGAGGGCAGTCCCAGTTTTGGGAGGAGCTCCGCCATCTACTGCCATGAGAGTTACTCTGTACTCCGGCTGCACCTCTGGATCTAGGGCTTTGTCCAGAACCAGTTCCGGGAATTTTCTGCCCTCACCGCCATTGCGAGTAAGAACGTGGAAATGGGAGTTGGGGTAGATGCTGTAGTTTTGAACATTATTGATGCCGACATCAAAATCTTGTGCTTTTTTCATGGGGAACACAGTCCCTGGAAGAGTATTTTCCATGATTTTCAAAATCATTTCTGCTTCTGGGAACACAGGGGAATTGTCATTTACGTCTCTGATCAAAAGATTAAACCTATATACCTCCCAAGGTTCTTCCAGTAACACCTGGAATTGCAGCACACAAGGTTCAGTGGGGCCACACAGTTCTTCCCGATCCAGTCTCTCACTTACTTGTAAATCTCCGGTCTGAAGGTTCAGCCGAAAATGTTTTTTGTTATTGTTAAAAACGACCCGAGCCCTCCTCCAAGACAGCTCTCTTACCCCCAGCCCTAAGTCCTTTGCTAGACTGGCCACAAAAGAACCACTCTCTGTTTCTTCTGCAATACTGTAATGTTCCCGCTCCGTGCAAGTCTGAGCCAGCAAAATAAAGAGAAGAATTCGCCTTAGTTTAGGAAAGCGCTCCTCTTCAGCCTCCATTTCTCCAATGCCAAAAGTCTTTAGGGTCTGGGTGCCTGTTGGGTCTGTAGGCAATCTGCTCTGGGTGTCAATCCTTACCGCAAGGTAATTCTGTTAAGAATCCTCTTCTCTTACATCTGTGTATGACTGCCAGAGCAGTAACCACCCGCAGGTCTGTTTTTCACAGCCTTAGCTTACAGCGCCACCATGTGTTCCACTTAAACCTAGTTGGCTGAAAATGCTACAAAACGTATTCCATTTATTTAGATTTATGTACACATACACAAGAAACAAACAACGGATTATATATGGGGTGCTGTATAAATAAAAATGGTAACTTCTATTTTCCTGTGATATTATGAATGTTGAGATGGTGCCAGACACTTGAGAAATGATGCAAGAACAAAGCTAACTATATTTATTTGTTTATTCAACAATTTGTTTATTCAACAAACACTGATTTCTTATTATGTGTCAGGCACTGTACTAAGTGCTGGGAATAAAAATTCTGACCTCATGGATTTTACAATATAATGTCTACTATATTGTATAGTCTGTGCTTTGGGGGAAAAGTGAGTAGACAAGGATGTGTAGCTATGAGTCTGTTCCTAAAGAGAGAATATACACCATTAAACTCTTAACTCACTGCTAGCACAGTAGATGAAGAGATTCACTCACATGTTTCAGGGATATAAACTTAAGTGATAGACCAGCTAGAACCGGTCTATTTTGCAAACTCAATAGACAGCTTAAGGGGTTGTGGATAACTTATTTGTAAATATTGTCTAAGGAGAGTGTCTCTGTACCTTTGAGAGCAGGTTGTATTGACTTATTCCATTATCCAAAACAATTTGTAAAGAGTATGTACATTTATTCATAAACTAAGACACATACATGTTGAAGTTGAGTCACTGAGATCTGAAAATTAAGAGTCAAGATCACAAAGACAAAGGGCTGAAGTTAAAGTAAAAACTAAAGTGCAGAAGAAATAGCAGGCTAAACTTATTCCCAATAGGAAAGATCACAATTCATTTATAGCAAGCGACTCACATATCTCTCGTGGATACCTTGGGATCCTGGCACCCTAATATGGAACTGAAGTTATTTTACTCCTAAGGATGGGAAAAACATCTTGGGATGGGGGACCTGAGGTCTCCCCAATTGCATCAAACTTAAGCTAATATTTTAATAATAATGTTTAAATAATAGACACTATCACATATTCTGGCACTTTAATTACCTGGCTAACTTGGAAAACTTAGCATGGGCCAAGTGTAAAAATTGTGTTGCATATTGGTTTAATTCTATTAAGGTAAAAATCACTCAAATCGACATTCTATTTTAGAATGTTTTCCCCTACAGTGAAACAAATTTGATGAAATAAACTCAAAATATGAGAACATGCTGGTCACATTTAAAATCTGATAGATAATTTTCCTCATAAAAAGATCTTGGTCATGGATCCAAACTCTTTATTATGGAATTAAATGTCCAAGAAAATGTGCCCTTAATGTCCATGCATTTTTTAATATTAACAGATAGAAGCTGATACCTATGTCAGTAAGGGAATGGATCAAAATTAGTTTTTCATTCCCATCTGTCATATCTCATATAAGTATTCTCCTTATTTTCTCTTCTAAGGAGAAAATTTTAAGCCTGTAGACTTGGCAGGAAGCTTGAAATTTTTTTCACGGGGCGTTTTAGTAATAGAATACGTGTCAATCAAATAATATTTATTACTATTAATGAAATCATGAATCAATGCATGTGATGTATAAATTGGATTATTTATAGATATTGAAGATTTTACACTAAATGATAAAAGAATTCTGTTCATACTGAACTCAGACAATACTTTTTAAAAGAAAGAGGTGCTAAGGAGGGTATGATAATCCTGAGAAAAGGTATAGACACCTAAACAATAACAATTTCAGTGTTACTTTTTAAAACTGATGCTGGAGCACATAAAATAATGAAGGGAAACCTGTTAACAAAGTATTCCATAAAACAACCCTTTGTAGCTTCTTTTGTTGAAAGACCTCATAAATTATCTATAAAATTAAGTTTTGTAACAAAATTATCTAGTATAGATAAGTTATCTCTAAGCTTGTACATTTTTTATTCCATTCATTGATTAAGTTAATGGTAGAAGCATGCAATAAACGACCTGGGTTTAATTGTACGTACTCTAATTGAGTACTTAAGATTGCATGTACCTTTTCTGTCTCTTTTGGTTTCAGGAAACATTCTCCTCCCCAAGATAGGTTAAATAAAGGAGTTTTATTACTAGGAAACTGGTGTCTTACCGTAGAACTCAAGGACAATTAGATGTTGGGGACTTAGGAACACTGGAATCAGGAACTGACAGGTCTAGAATCAAGTAGCTATCTTAGTCTCTACTGTCTCTTAAGCTTCTGCCTCCTTCACTTTCTTATTTCTTCTCACTTTTACTCTTTCCTTCCTTCTCTCTTCCCTCTCTAGATGCCTTTCTGTGCTGCCAGCCTACACAGGTATAAACATGGCTACCTCAGCCCATGCTTAACATTTATTTCCTAGTTACAAGCAATCAAAAAAAATAGATGAATTACATCTTAATTGCAAATTCAGGGGTTTGGAGAATGTGATTATTCTCACTTTAATCAGGAGTCTATCACTGGACCAATCAAAAATGGCCAGGAGAGGTAAAGAAGAGTAGAATAAATGTCTCAATAGTGATTACCTCTCTTGGTTAGTACAAGGAAGTTCTTAGACAAGAAGTGTGGGCTGGATATATATCTTAATTCAAACAAGATTAGAACTTATTTTAATACACCAACATCTAAGCAATATATATAGTTCACAAAATATTTATGAAGAAAAATACCTAAATGCAGAAAAACTTCTCTGAAATATTTGGCAGAAAAGTAGAATGGAAAGATTGATTATACTTTTAAAAAAATCTAAATAACATAACATCTTAAAAACCATGCAGGGTTTTTATTCATACCATGCATTTTCCACTATAATAATACTATCAAACATACAAAAACTGTTTTAGTGAAAGGATCTACAGCCTAGAACACCCAGAGAATACCCAGTGAGCCCAGTGTGCAATTAAGCTGGAAGGGAAAATGCTGTATATTCGAATAAATTATTTGAGGCTGCATTTTGGAAGAAAGACTAAGCAAATCCTAGTTCCCTTAGTTTTTTCCACAGTTAATATAAAGAAGAGCAGAAAATAGCCTTACATTATTGAAATTTCTGAAAAATCTTAAGTAAATTGAAGTTACCCAAACGAAGAACTTTACATTACAATGAATGAATTTTACAAAGAAATAGAGCTCGTTCTAAAAGTTCTACATAATAATCAAAACCCTAATTGAATCCAAAGCCACTCAGAAAGCTGTGGCTTTCCTCCATTTCACTGTCTTGGGGCGGGAGGTTGGGAATAATGGGTTTAAGGAACTTGAACTCGCTGGTCCCAGAGCCTCCCCTCAGACACACCTCATACTGGTGGCTCTGGGACAGGGTCCCAGTACCGCCGACGTCCACCAGGTGGCCCGGAAAGTGGCCCTCAGGCACCGAGCAGCG